TTTCAAAGAAATATCCACTTACACATAGCATACCAAAATTTTTAATCACCTCTGTTACATCGAGATTCTAAAAAACACCCTAACTATTGAAGTGTCTAAAATTTACGAATCGAAACCATTATTTTATCGACATCAATGTTTACGTGAGTAGGTAGCTTAACATCATAAACCCTTTTAACCGTTTTGTTTATCTTTTATAAAACACGGAAACCTTAAAGCACAATCCTTAGAATAAGAATTCCTCTATATAAAGGTCTCTTGCCCAGCAGTAACACTTGATATTATTTGTTTTTATTATTTTATTATTATTTATTAGATATTAGTTGCTGTAGTATAAAAGTACGCGTGTTGTCTTACGATTTTCTAATTTTAAAGTAATCATGCAGGTCACAGTGTAGTATATCCATGTGCTGATGACTTATTAACTATTTTGTATTCATATTCCTTGCATGACTTATGTCGTCAATCCGCATCCCATTATATCAACGAATACAATGACAACATGCAATCTGTCAAAAAAATCTTCCCTTTTCACCTAGCGATGTATGTTAAAATACTTTATTATATTGACTTTTATAGTCATTGTATAATGGATGTCGTTGTTTACAAAATAGCGTGACTGTCTACCAAATTCGTACCAGTACGAATTTAATTACCATAAAAGAAACCATCTTTGAAAATATTTTAACAACAGCTATAAGTCATTATTAATCGGAACAACCCTCTTAAGACATTTAGTTCTATAGTTTGTTTTCTAATTCCAGCCAATCACAGTGCAAATTACTCTGAGGTTAATATAATGCTGGGTCTAAAAGTTGTGATTTTTACGGGCACTTCGCGTCGGCTGCGGAGATCGCATCGAGTGCGCCCGGGCGCCTTTCTGCGCGATGGCAATCGAAATAATTATCATAAAGTAAATCCCCACAATTCGGCCGCCCCCGGGCCCCAAGCCGCGCGGTAAATGGCGGGTCCTCGCCGCCGCGCTCTAGTGACGTTATCGGGAACACCTTGTGAAGTATCGATGACTGTCGACAGCTTACCTAGCTTTACAATGACCTCTTAGTTGACTAAGCTATTCATATTGTAATTTTTCACTGTCGTTCCATGTCGCTTTTTATCTTGGATTACATTATTCACAGCTCTCCTTTTCAGGTGACTATAAACTAAAAACCTACCAGATAATGTCCAATAAAACATGTGAACCCTGCATTTATTTTAATATTACCATTTCACCGATATCGACATTATGCGATCCCGTCCGTCGCATGAACTTAATGTTTCTCGGTTGGGGAGGGCCAAACAGTTGCGTTTTCAGTTTTTGCCTCGTGCCGCTCTCATCTCAACATTGCCAATGGAATTTAATTCGCCTGCTTGTTTTAACGTCTTCCCCCGTCTTTTTGTCCTCCTCGCTTCTATTAATACCAATAATGGGTTAGGTTCCAATCCAATCACGTCTTACGTCGTACTGAGAAATTTATTAGAGAATATCCAATTACCGTCGTTGCAAATTGTACATAATATCACTTTTTATTTGTTTTAAGCGCATCGTCCTCATTCAACTGCGTCGTAAAGCGGAAGACTCCAGTTTTTATTTTGAAAAGCTCCCTGACAGCTGTCGTATTAACACACCCTATTTAACAGTGACACCGCTTGCTTTACCGATCTGAGCTTTAACTTTTATTATTACACGTATGTGATTAGAGGTGTCTGCGCGAGACTGGTAATAATAAGTAGCCAGCACCCACCCCTTGGCGTCACCCGCCCGACCGCACACGCCTCGCGTTGGCCACTAAAATCCCGTCTTGAAAACAACCCTTAATTTCGAACGTTTAATTTATGTATAACCTCAAATGATCGGGGCTTAATTCGAATAATTTGACTATTTTGATTTGTACGGGGCTGTAGTGTGGGATCAAAGCGAGGATTGGCGTCTGAGGTGTCTTGGCGCGTGACGCGACACGGCAACCTCCCCGCGCCCCGCCGTCAGCCGCCGCCCGCGCCTCGCGCTTTTGTCAGCCCGCGGGTACCGCTGCCCTTGTGTTTATGTGATCGCAGACAACGCCCCACGATGCTCTAAAAAATCTTGTTACAGCGTCTATGTATAAAAGATATTTTTATTTTCCGACTTAAGCGGTGAACATAATCCTGATTTCGAATCAAATATATTTGAATTTCGATTCAAATATATAATGTACTGTTTTTCAATGTCTAGGTCACATTTCGAGTTAGCAATGCAGATACTATGATACTATTGCTATGATTTTGGAGCTACTATGATTTATTATAAATAGGTAGCAATTTTCAGTTTTAGTTAAGAACGTCTTACGGCGTATTTACTATAACAATTTAGAATGCATCAAAACCTTTTTATCTTTGCTTCGACGAGACAGGTGCACACGAAGCATAAAAACTCGTTACTCTATTAAGGTCATAGCCCTAAATGCAAGCTATTTAACATAATCGTGGAATAACAACAAATGTTTACGGGCCCTTTCAATGAGGGAAATGGTGGACATGTTGTGATCCAGGCTGTGACGTATCGTAATGGCGTGCGTATACATCGTCATATAAAAATCATAAAGTCGTCGTTTCGCAACACCTGCCGATACATGCCGCGGCCACGCACCGCAACACCAATGGTCTTATTCTTTGGACAATTATTAATTTATTGCTTTATGTACTCCTTCAACAATATAGACGACTGGTGGGAGGAATATTACTCAGTCATCTGGACATATAAGTACAGGAATAAAAAATCCGCAATATATTGACTTCATATTTGTTTATAGCGTCCTTCTTGACCCACGTACACTTTGCTGTTGTTTCAATGAGATTCTTTAATTAAATGACCCTACCTGGGTAGTTGATTGTGCCATACCGTTTCCGCTCTTACGAAAATCTTGCCGCACCACTAACTCAAGTGGGCTACCAGTACCAAGTCATGATTCACCGATGCAATGTTTCGCTACGTAAGGTTGTTTGCATACATGTAGATAATATGTATATTAATGCAAACAACTTTATATACTCCTTATCTTGCAAATTATCAGACTCACGCCCGTTTCTGATAGTTATTTGCTTTGCGACTGTTGCGGATACTGCCTACGCTACATTGGTCTTTTTCGGCGCTTTCTTATATAAAATTAATCCCTACCAGGAACTAGCCATTCAATACGATTTTGTTTGCGTCCTAAACAAATTGCTTACGAGATAATCCAGGACGTTGACTATCATCTACCCACTGAATTTCATTCCTTTCCCTTTCATCTGTTCAAGCGGCCAGTGCCGCACTTCGCAGCTATAGAACATGGCCTCGTTTAAGCCGCTTGACCATAGTTGATGGATCTAGAAATTTTGCGATAAGTGGGTTCGGGTGGCAGGGTAGGCGTTCTTTGTGCTTAGTTTTATGTCGGTCTATCTCATCAGCTACCGATAGAACGTTTTGGTAATCATGGATCTCTTCATTTCGAGTGACCCAAGGGGCTTTGATTGTTGCCCTCAGGATACAGTTCTGCACTCGTTGGAGACAAAGTATATTACTCTTGCTAACCACACCCCACAGTGAATACCGTATGTCCGTCTAAATGGGGTTTAAGTCTGAGTTGTAGATTAGAAGTTCGTGGTCTACTAATAATGCTGAATTCTTTCCCATGAACCAATGTAGGTTACGATATTTGAGATTGACTTCATCTCTTTTCCGTTTGATGTGATGCTTCCATGTGAGATGTATGTCTAGGTGAAAACCAAGATACTTCACACAATCTGAATGTGGTAATGTTTCATTGCCAAGTCTTACTGAATTACAGTTTCCTTTTCTCAAGTGTAAATGTGGTATGATGGCACTGATCCGGATACGCCATTTACAGAACCACCTGTGGATATGATCTCGTTGGAGTTCAAGATACATCGGAACTTAAATATCTATAATATTCGGTGTTCTTATCGTATGTATGGCATATACTATGTTATTAAAACTAGCCACTTTCACCTCGTCATTAGTGCAGATGTTAGGGCATGCAGGGAACGATGTAAGGGTGATGCAAGGAGCCATCGTCTGAATTACGCCAATCGAATGCGGATATAGTTCCTGAGAGAAATAGTAGCAGTAGCAGTTGAGATCCTTGTGAAAGAGTTCGTCCAGGGTAGTACTGCCACCTTATCTATTTTTGCCGCCAAGCAGTAATGTCAGCATTACTGTTTTCCGGTTTTAAAGGGTAAGGGTGCTGTTGAAATGACAGGCACATGGGACTTGTCATCTTAAGTGTCAAGGTGACGGGCGCAGTGACAGTGACAGTGACCCTCAGACCTTTGCGATTTAAAGCTCTGAGCGGCACTATAACTGTTATGGACAGGCGTGCGTACGTAAGCTTACTATCAGGCGCACGACTTCTTCGTCCCGTCACTTGATATTATACACAAAAATAATAATAATCACATAAAATATCAACGCATCAGTTTTAGAATTATATAAATATATATAAATATTAGACAACATCACATAACGTTGCTCTGATGCCAAAGTAAGTAACTAAAGCACTTGTGTTATGGAAATCGGAAACAACGACGGTACCACGAACACTCAGACCCGAGACCCATATAAGAAAAGTTATTTTCTACATTAACCCGACCGGGGATCGAACTCGAAACCTTGGAGATGACGACACCATGAAAACCGGTGTGCAAGCCACTCGTCCTCGGAGGTCGTCGAATAAGTATTAACACACTGACCTTTAACAAACTCTTCAATGTACGTTTAGGTACCTACATACATATACCTGACATCAATAATACATTAGTGTACAATAATCAAACAAACAATAACTGTATTGTCATTTAGAAAAACCTTTCAATCCTTTATTGTTTATCTTTGATCATAACCTACATTGCTCCCCATTACCCTTCCACAACCATACCTGCAAATTAAAGGTCCTCAATAGGTAGGATCAAATGTAATGACATATAGTTATAATAAAGCTAAGATTAAACTTTGCCATTTCCAGCGGCAATGGAGGAGGAATCTAGCGAGTTGCCAGGCACAGATGGGCTCGCGCCGAAGCAGCGGCACCAAGCAAAGCACCGCGAGCTTTTTCTCTCGCGGCACGTGGAGACGCTGCCGGCCACGCACATCCGCGGCAAGTGCTCTGTCACACTCCTCAACGAGACCGAGTCGCTGCTCAGCTATCTCAATAAGGATGTGAGTATGTACCGAGAATGCCGGCCGAAAACATGAAGACATTTTACACAACACAAGCTCCTATCTCGTCTAAACAATACTGATCATAATGACAAATTAAGGATTTCTTTTCATCTGTTCGTAAATGGTATATTGTCAACAGCCATGATAGCCTAATGGTTTGACCTACCGTTTCTCAAGTTGAGGGTTGTGAGTTCGAATCTAAATCTGTGCTTTTCGGAATTTATGTGCGAAAATCAAATTTATCATGAGCTTTTCAGTGATGGAAAACTTCGTGAGGAAACACATCTGGAAAGCAATGTGCGAAGTCCCAATACGGTACGAGTATTAAGCTCGCGTGGGAACTACAGTTCAAACCTCTCATCGTAAGAGGAGGCATGTGCCCAGCAGTAGGACTATATATGGACTAACTATTTATACAATTATTATAAATGGTATATTGTACTTTCCAATCACATTGTCTAAATTAGACGCCAAGTATGCAATACTTATGTACGTTAGACAAGTAACATGTAAACTAAGTGAAGTAAGGAAAATGCGCCTTTAAATTTTTATTACTAAAAATGTCGGTTTATTTAGCAAATAACGTTCACCCTGAAACAGTACCTATTCTTTTCTACATAATCAGAGCCTATGCACACGGCGTATTTTATACGAGCCGACAACGCACGTTTACGCGCCGTAAACACACGTCACCTGCGTGTGTACGCGCTGTATTCGCGCGTATGTATATCTCGCGCATTTTGATAGGAGATAGTTTTAATTTTAATTCCGTTTGTTAATTTCAGTTTGTTTTTGAAATGAAGCAACTACTTGAAACAATAACATAATGATTAATATATCATTCTAAGTCTAATTTCCAGTGGAGTATAGCTTCTTGCTTGCAACGCAATGTTTGCGTGCGTTTGAATCGATTCACTACAGCGCGTATACGCGCAGATGACGCACGTTTATGACGCCGTAAAGGCGCGTTCGTGTAACGCGTGTCGTCGGCGCATATAAAATAAGCCGTGTGTATAGGCTCTTCATGCTATTGATTTAATCTACTCGTATTATACGATATCACAGCCAATTCGTTGTGTATTATTCAAAATCAACTATTGTCCATTGATGTAGAAAAGGTGGTGATATTTTTATATCTCACTAAACAAAAATAAAAGCATTATATATTTTTCACGACAGATGAATTACTTAATGTAATCTTTCATGGAAGATGATGTTCTTAAACTAAGGATTTTTTTGTGTATACATTATTAATTTTTTTTATGTATATTGTTACAATTTCCTTTCCAATAAGATAATAAAATTATTATATAGAAATACCTGCCATTTTGAATCTTTGATTGTGCTATTTGTTTGATTTTTTATCAATATATATTTAAGAATTTTGTAAAATTATTGCAACACACTCATAGACCCTGTGTCGCGGCTGCCATGGACACACACATAAATAACCACAAATTACACCCAAACTCATGAGAGAAATGAATGAAATACACATACTTCTCCCGGCTTGGGTATCGAACCGTTCAGCCACAGAGGCAGTCTCACTCGCACTCGTCTCAATAGGTCTTTATTTAAAAGAATAAACCACTTGTATTTTAGCGCAATATTAATGTCATGTAATTATGATCTTCGTCATGACAGGCTTATTTTAATACAATTCGTCCTCTTTAACAAATCGACATAAGTTATAAATTTGATTTGATTATTGAAATCTTAGTTACATCGCAGTATAATAAGACAAGTATGGTAGCTCCATACAAATGTAGCAGCGTAACTTTTATATATGTGCGCCCGCCGCGTGCTGTATACGGACGCACACATTCGCATAATCTCGCGATGCTTTCGCGTTGCATAGTGCTGGTCGTCTCACATGCCTTTCATTATTATAGGAATGTGTGCGCTGCTACGTTTGTATCTAATTACCATATTTGTCTTATTATACTATGGTTATACAAAACTGTTAAAATAAAAAACGAAACGAACTATTTAACAAAGAAAAACCTGTCAAAGATCATGACGTAGAGACGTAATCACTGTTTATCATTCGTGACATTCGTTTATAAAATTGTAATTTAGCATTCTTAAATTTTGCAGTAGTAAACATTTTTATAACTATCCATTGCATATTTTATATACGAAACACGCTGCCACTTTTTGTTACATCTGCTGTTACAACATGTTATAAGGTGCCAACAGATTTGCTCGATTTTGTCGACCGTTACTGTCGATCGGCTATGTCGATTTTTTTTTTGTTACATCTCCTGTTACAACACGTTTTAAGGTGCCAACAGATTTGCTCGATTTTATCGAGTGTTACTGTCGATCGGCAATGTCGATTATTCTTGTCAATCGATAGGTGCGATCGAGCAAAGCACCTTGTGTTGATCGCACGAGCTCTATTTGTTTGATCGCTAGGGTCAATCGACAATGGCGATCGTCGTTTGCTACCACTTTTGCTCGTTTTGTTTGATCGCACGTGTCGATCGTCAAAGAATAGAGCAAATCTGTAAGCACCTTTAAGCAAATAAATGAATAATTATTATGTAAATTATATAATATAGATGTAATGTTTTTTTTTTTTTTTCAATTTTAAACTTTCGCGTTGCATTATACTAACATGTTAAAACGGAAATAAACTCGATTAAACAATATAATAGGTACATTGCGCACATACCTATATTATCTCTGTACTGTCTACCTATGTTATCTGTCTCAGGCTGACTTCGGTCAGGGTCAGGTAGGTGTGCAAAATGCCTATTAAATTGTTTAATCTAGTTTATTCCAGTTTTGAAATGTTAGTATAATTTTATTTCGTCAAAATTTCGAGTTACGACCGTTAGTTTTGTAAGGAATAAATTGGTGACGTATCAGTAAATCATTAAGTACATACATATTACCATACACAATCATAGCCTGACTTCACCTCTGCTGTATTTATAGCAGATATGTTCCCTCCATTAGTTTGCCTTGCAATTTGGTCTACCCTTTTCGCTAAAACGTGTTTAACGTTTTTCTTAACGCTTCTCGAGCACAATTCGACTGTCGCCTTATAAACCTAGCATCACTATTCTATTATTTAGTTTTTTTTTATATTTTACGTTATAACATTATACACATTGTCCTTCTATGGGAACAGAGCTTAAAGCGCAGGCCACACCACGAATGAAGCTAAGTTAGCTTAGCTCACGTAGCCGGGGCATCTATTTATACGCCGGTTCACACCGCGAACTAAGCTTACCGAGCTAAATGACATGTGTCGTCAAAAATATGTCGTCCTTCTGCCGCCCTTCATCCCTGCACATCACTATTTACTACGTCCTTTCTTAGCTTAGCCTTGCATGCAACTACGTGAGCTAAGCTAAGAGCGGTTATACACGGTGACTTTTAGCAGCGATGCAGTAGCAACGTAGTCGCTAATCGCCTAAAGTTTGTTCCAATCCATTATGCCAAAAAAGTAAACAAACCGGTTTGGTGAAAATTCTAAAGCAATCACTCAATAAATGGAATAAGTGATACTTTACGTATATTTTGAAGATTTCAACTTGATATCTCGTCACTATTTCCAGCAATATTCATTTCAATAACATATTAAAATCTTATTTGAAAAATGTTAGTTCAAAAGTGAGATTAGTAATCAAATATAGATTTGTGAATAGTCTATGGTTGCATAGGGTTTCTACGGAAACAACTCATTCAGTTCATTCAATTAAAGTTTCCGTAATCGGTTAGTGAATCGAAAATTTTATCACAATCGAACGAATATATAAGTGTAAGTTGATGTGAAGGAGGATTTAAAATTAGATTTAGGAAATTTTAAATTTGTTTTTTAGGTTATGTAAGAAAATAATTCTAATCTCATGTATGAAATATAATCACTCAGTATTGAATCACATATTTTTTTATAGTAATCAGCAGCGAAATCGCAAAACTCACTTAATTATGTAAATTCGTGTTATTCCAACTGATTCAAGTAAACAAATTAATTCATTCAATTAATTAATCGATTTGTAGTTGGCAGTACAGTTGGTCATCACTAAACTGTCTATGGTCGGGTCAATGATCTGTTTGGTTTACTTTTTTGGAACATTGGATTGGAACAGACTATACCTTTACACACGCGCGCGATTTTATGCAGCGATGCTATCGCGCGTTTGTATCGATGCAGTCCGCATTTGCATCGATGCAATCGCCTATTAATCGCAAGTGTAGCGATGCAATCGCGCGTTTGCATCTCTGCTAAAAGTCACCGTGTATAACCATTCTAGGTTAGCTTTATCTTCGTTCGCGTTGTGACCTGCGCTTAATACAAAATAATATAGCCAAAGCATAAATAAATATTTTTGACCACATTTCATTTGTTTACACGAATACATTCCTATAGTAACATACAACAAGTATATTAAAAACCAATCTTGATTGTTAACCTCCACAATCTCCAAGGTCCCACCACGGTCACTACACTTTGACTCTTGTAAAGGACATGTCACGCCCTAATCTGACATCATGTCCCGTTTCCTCCGAACTAGCACACTGTAAATAAATGGTTTCATACCATCGGTCCTTGCGACGATCAATTATTCTCACTAAATTAAATATCAATGTCATGATCTATATATAGCAGAAATGGGAATTATCGAATTAATTATACGATAATTATTTAATTTAATTGGACCAACAAAATGCTACCCCATGGTTGTGCCATGTGTTTGTATATGAGATGTATTCAAACGCGTTTTGACATTTCTAAATAAAGTCCCAAACCAAATCGTTTTCCCAAAGATTTTTCTTCGTGTTTATTTCGTTTTCTTACTGTTTGTTATCGCCAAAAATTAAAGATAAAAAACTATGCATCATAATCATTGACCTACCAACAAATGGACGTCGGGTCTAATACAAAAACCACGAAAAAAATTTCCGATGTTAACTATAACCTATACAAACGTAGTGACATGTAACGAAATATAAAAAACTAAAACATTTAATTCAAATTGTAACGTCATTGTTGTGATCGTCGTACTGCTTAATTTTGCATGCAACAATTTAAGGGCCCAAAAACACCATGTTTAGCTTCTACTGTAAATTTAATAAATTGCACCATAAATTACTTGAACACAGGAGTAATGAGTAGCCTTTATCGTAAATATTAATTAATTTTTATATATATTATTATGTCGAATTTTGTACAAATTCACTTAAAGAAATAATAAAGAGTTGGGCGGATACATACATACAAATATTATTACAAATGTGAAAATAAGCGTGTACTATAAGAAATGTACCGATATTCCATCTAAACGTAAAGTCAAATATCCGTAATTCCGAATACCGATTTATAATGAAACCGTTACGCTTTCGAGTAATTTTGATGCTTTTCACAAAGACAAAATTAGCTTTTGTTTTGTAATCTTCCCAAAAAACACATTTGACATTATGAAAATTCGAGCTAACGTTATTTCGGGCAAATGTATTTTCTGACTTCTGATTGGACAATATTTTGTTAGTTATTAACTAACGTTATATAACGTAATATATTAGCTAACGTTTAATAAAAAATCATTTTAAAAATAAGATTAAAATTAAAGCGACTCTATAGTTTCTTTGTTCTAAATATTTCAATCGCTTGTGGTTCGAACAAGTGAAAATTACCAAGAAGTTTATATAAGCTTCTTGAAATTGACGTAATGGGTCTCTTCCCATCTTTGCTTTTTGGTACAGAGGGTCGATGTTAACGGTACGAGATCATCAGGGTCTGCAATTAGCATGGGTGTCCCTCAAGGTTCAACTCTAGGCCCATTTTTGTTTTTAGTTTATATTAATGACTTACCTGGCCTTAAGAAGGGTATAAAACATGAGATAGTATTGTTTGCTGATGATACTTCCTTATTATTTAAAGTTAAAAGGCACCAATGTTCCTACGACGATGTGAACAATGCTATATCGAAAGTAGTTGATTGATTTGCTGTTAATAACCTACTTCTTAATGAGAAAAAAACAAATTGTGTTACAAACATTGTAGTTAAGGTGTGTCCAAACATAAAGCGGCATTCGAGCGCGGCTGCCGTGCGCGTCTTGCCGCGCTATGATTGGACGACTGCCGCGCGCGGCAGCCGCGAGCTACCTGCCGGCAAACTTGTGTCCCGCGAATGCCGCGCGTAGCTGCCGCGCACCTTGCACGCCGTGTTTGGACACACCTTTAGAAACGAAAAATTGAATCTTGTGGATACAGTTGCATTTCTAGGTATAAAGTTAGATGCTAAATTGCAATGGGGTCCCCATATAAGTAAGTTATCAAAACGGCTCGGCTCTGCAGTGCACGCGATTAAATAATAAGGAAACTTTCAGACGTCGAAACCTCTACATTGGTTTACTTCAGCTACTTTCACAGTCTAATGACATACGGCATGTTGCTTTGGGGTAATACCGCCGATATCAATAGAATCTTTGTCCTGCAGAAACGTGCAGTTAGGGCAATTTACAATCTGGGCCCCAAAGTATCTTTGAGAGATAAGTTTAAGGAAATTAACATTCTTACACTAGCCTCACAGTACATTTATGAAAATGTAATTTATGTTAAAAGGAATAGTAATTTCTTTATGAAAAATAGTGACAGACATAACATTAATATGAGGAATAGAAATAAAGTAGCTTTTCTTGATAGTCGTCTTCACAAAGTCAAAAAATCATATAAGGGGCAATGTATACGCTTCTATAACAAGATTCCGGTTGATATACAAAATTTGCCTTTCACGAGGTTTAAAACTATAGTGAAACAAAAACTTTATACTAAAGGTTATTATACAACTTCTGCGTATTTAGATGACAAAAATCCGTGGTAGTAACCCGTTTAGCTCATGGAGGTAGTCTCGATCTCTGATGTTTAAACTATAAAAAAATTATTATAAATGTTATTTACAAAGAGCAACCCCTAGAGTTTCTTGCTCATTCTTCTCAGGGGAATCTGCCTTAGGAATGAGCGGTAGAGTTTAACCATTGTGACGATTTCAAGTGCAATAATGCTTACCTATGAAATAAAGATTATTTTGAATTTGAATTTGAATTTGCGCATGCAATGTGTAGAAAAAGGACAGTTAGCTATTTGATTATTTTGTGTGCTTTTGTCATTTATGTTTCCGATTCATTTATATATAAATTAAATACTGAAAAAATGTACAAAATAACACTTTTAAATGAGAACTATGATAACACAATATATTTGTTTAGTGAAAATATGATACAAAATCCTGTTTTTACACTTTAATGCAGTAACTTTTACAAGTTATTATATGGTACTGCATGATTGAGAACCGCACTATCAGTCGAACAAACGAAGACTGTAGCTCGATTGACGCTCTGTATGCGATTTTAACGCCCTATTGGTGCGGACACTTTTTAGCGCGAACCCGACGTCCATTTATTGGTAGGTATCATAATGGATAATTATCAGGTATATATCAGATAATTATCAAAAATAAATATTGATAATTTCAAACCGGACATTTGTCTCAAGTAAAATCTTATAATTTTTATAGGCATGCAACAGGGTAACAGGATGGAGGTGGCTAGGGCAATGATTGTATTAGTTACTGCACTAGGCTCCTTTACTTTTGGATTCCACTTTTCACTTAATATCAGATGGAGTGGGGTCATCTATCCGCCTATCATGTATAAACAATATTTGAGGAGTTACTGGTAGATATTATCTAGCTTTATAATACCTTTGATTGATCTATCGTGATATGAAGACTTCCTTTTTGACAAATGTTACAACAAAAATTCGTGTCCATAATTATTGCAACCTAACTCGTTACAAAGTTTGAAATTAACAACGTTTTTTTATGTCATTACTTCTCATGATTAATTCATATGAGAATATATTTTAATACACCATTTTTCTCCATTGTTTCAGGACGCATTTTTTTATTGTTTAGTATTTGATCCTTCACAAAAGACTTTATTAGCAGATAAGGGAGAAATCAGAGTTGGAAGTAGATATCAGACTGAAGTAACTAATTTATTAAAAGAAGGTAAGCCACATCAAAATAATAATTTAATTTGATGTTTACCATGAGTTTTTCGACGAAGGAAAACATTGTGATGAGACCTGCACCTCGAAGAAGTACCCTCGATAAACGTGTGAAGTCCCCAACCTGCATTGGGCCAGCGCGGCGGACTGTGGCCTAAAACCTCACCTTAGGGTAGACCTATGCCCAGCAGTTGGACGTATACATGTTGAGGACGACGAACTTGTTGTTTCGTCGTCATCAACTCGTTTATACGTCCAAATTAGGGCAAACATGAAATGAGTTTGTACTATAAAACATAACATGTCACAATTATTGTACTCAATCTATAGAAGCAGTTCCAATAGCTGGAATATGAAATGGCTGATCTAAAGACAGTACGCCAACAAGATGTAATATTTGTAGGCGAGGAGGACACCCGCACCAGCGAAGAGCTGGAGACGTTGGTGTGGACACCGGAGCACGGGCTGACGGACCGACAGATCGACCAGTTCCTGGTCGTATCGCGTTCTGTGGGCACATTTGCGCGTGCGCTTGATTGCTCCTCCAGTGTTAAGCAGCCCAGTCTGCACATGTCCGCCGCCGCCGCCTCACGCGACATCACACTGGTGAGATAGATATTATGATCCTAAGGCTATAAGTAAGAATCTAATGTAAATGAAAACAGCAAGGGTTATGTAATTAGCATTGTCTTCAGATGCCAAGTCATGTACCCTTTTGACACGCTTTTTATGTAGCTTATTTGTTTTAACTAAATTTTTTTATTTGTTTTTGTGGTCGTGTTTTTTTGTGTTATAGATGATTTAAGTACTTTTCTATAATTGTTTGTGATTTATGTAGCTTGCATGTAAAATAAAATCGATTTTAACTATTTATTTTATATTCGATACCGTCTCCAGCTACTTGTACTGGACCTGTCGTTCAATTAGAACTTTGGTTGATACATAAAATCCATGGCCAAAAATGCAGCCAGGAAGCTAGCATCCTTTCCAGCTTCAGTTGTACCAAGCATAAATCTGGTCATGTATGGAGTACTGCTGACACTTATGGGATGGCTGTGCTAAATACCAACTGGCCACCTTGGATTCCGTTGAAAAGCGTGTCAAGGCGTATATGCTTATAGGTGACTCAGAGTTTTGTAGAAGCGAAGCTGCACAGCCTTGAACATTGCCATAAAGTTGCCTGCTTACCCGTATTCTACAGGATATATCACGGAGAATGTGCGATGGAATTGCATGATTTAATTGTGCCTTCCCCTTTAAATCTTCGGGGGCCTAAGTGAAGGCGGGGGGTCCACCCCTATGTTGTGGATATTCCCAGGATTCCCACGAATCGTTTCGCTTTCACATTTATATGGCGAGCGGCTAGGGAGTGGAATTCACTGCCTGCGGACGTATTCCCCGAACGCAATAACTTGGACCTTTTCAAGGCGAGAGTGAATAGGCATTATTTAGGTGTGCATGCTGCATCGTCGACCTCATGGTCACTTTCCATCAGGTGAGATGGAAGTCAAATGCGCACTCATTCTTTTGTAAAAAAAAATTATAATCTACTGTGGACCAAATTGTGTAACCCTGAAAATTTTGATTGAAGATTAAAAATATCAAAACTTAAAAATGTGCCAGACAACCACACCAATTGATTTTATTACAGGCACATGGGACTTGTCAACTTACGTCTTATGGTGGCGTGAGCAGTGGCAGTGCCTCTTAAGATCTTTGCGATTTAAAGCTCTGAGCGGCACTACAACAGTTATGGATAAGGCGTGACACACAACACCAGAAACAATTTAGAAAAAAATATTTCCCAAATTGTTCCTACTGGGAATCGACCTCGGGACCTTCTCGACCAGCGTCCACAGTGCAAACCGTTGGGCCACTGAGGTCGTCAAAAAAACCAAAGAACATTCCATTGGTTTTCCATTGTCAAACACCAATGACCTTATCTTAAATTGGACTTATCCTCTTACTCTACTAGGGTAATGAAACCATTCCACGTTTTAGTTTTTTGTTATTTTATTTTACGTCATAATAACACACCAATAAATAAATTTATAAGAACTAAGTCTGTATAAGACTCTTCGGTTCGGCTCATTTTTCATACGAATTAACAACGCGTGTTCCGGATTTTGTATAAAAACCACGCCGCCCTCGTTATATGAAGCTCGTGAGGCACTACCTGTGGCACCCAGAACCGAGCACAATTTAGGGATGTTCGTTACTTAAACTTGTGTCTTCCAAACTTGCGGACTTGCCGAGCTCATCGTTTGTGTTATTTTAAATTTAATGTTCATTTGTGTTCATGTGCAGTTCCACGCTATGGACACACTGCACAAATCGGGGTACAGCATAGAAACGGCACTATCGTCGCTAGTGCCTGCCTCAGGGCCCGTGCTGTGTCGCGACGAGATGGAAGAGTGGTCCGCCTCAGAGGCCAACCTCTTCGAAGAGGCCCTCGACAAGTATGGCAAGGACTTCGCTGATATCCGACAGGACTTTGTAAGTATTAATAAATGTTTTTTTTTTAATGGAGTACTCATATTTTAAATATCATCAGTGGACGGGTCAGATATTGACACTGTCAGTAACATCAAAAACTAAAGATTATAAATTTTTGGCACTCCACTAGCTATTTGATATAATAATATGGTACAAACGATCAAACAGACAGACGATTTCTTGACGAAATATTACATATAGAAATGTTAATAATATCGAAAACATATTGTTACCAACATTGTTACGTCTCACACATTGTTATCTATAGCACCTTCTCTATTGAATCGCAGTTGCCATGGAAGACGCTAAAGAACCTGGTGGAGTACTACTACATGTGGAAAACGACAGACCGCTACGTGCAGCAGAAGCGCGTCAAGGCCGTCGAGGCCGAGTCCAAGCTGAAGCAGGTGTACATTCCCAACTAGTGAGTGTTTGTACCGACACACATATTTTATACCTAAGTGTTGTATTGTCTGATGTTGTCCTTTTTTTAACTCGCTTTTTAGAGTAGCAATTCTAATGTTAAAATTCTTTGTTGGGGATTATTTTCTAACATTACCTCACCTATTTCTGCCGCCAAGCAGTGATGTCCGCATTACTGTGTTCTGGTTTTGAAGTGTAAGGGTGCTGGTGAAATTACATGGGACTTGTCAACTTTTGTGTCATGGTGACAGGCGCAGTGGCAGTGCCCCTTGTTATCTGAGTGGCACTGCAACTGTTATGGGTAGGCGTGTAGCGTACCATCAGGCGCACGATTTGTTCGTCTCGTCACTTAATATAATAAAAATATAAAATAAAATTTTCAATTAATTGTGTGTTGTTCATAAAACAATCGAACACCAAACGCACGCAGGTGTATCCTTAACAGTTACTATTTCTGCATTAGAATTCATAATTTTTATGCTATACTCCGTCACAGATTACTTCATACTACACTCTGTAAAACATACCTTGATTAAAATGACACTTGTCAAAGTAAACCAGTGATGTGACACTATCAGTGAAATCGTGAATCAATATTAAAATAAATCGACTGAATTATGACATTTTAGCCATTGTCATATCATGGTAATAACAGAAATCAACTCGTGTAATTCATTGCACAACAACAACTGGCACCACTATATAATAGAAATGTGATAATGAAGCAGAATTATAACAAACTTTATCGACTTTGTTAATTTTTAGTTAAAGAGCAATGGCCAACTCCCATACAATTTTTTGTTGACCTTTTCTATTTGCGTCTGTGTGTGAAAAATATGTAAAAAATATAGAGTTTAAAGTCCTGAACAAATTTGGTTTTAGGTTTACTATTCTGAAAAGTCTGGAATTATAGATAATTGAATAAAATGTATTCGGTGTATTTTATGTCAAAATAAAGTAACAAAAACCTTAATCAGAATTAATAGAAGCCAACTGCTGCCGTCGGTTTGTGTTGGTTGGACGAAAGTTAGAGGAAAACATTTTTTCTGAGTTAATACAATTATTTTTTGTGAAACATGCCATTTATCCCTGAAATTGGGAACTTTTTTGTTATTTTCTCGCATGGCGTATTTGGAAAAGGAATTATTATCTACTTTATTTTCTGTGAGAAAGTAGTTAGTATTAGAAATTAATCTTATTGCAAATCGGTCGAATCAGTACTTTGGATATTACATGAACCAATTTCATTTGGATGGACCTATTTATACATAGGTATAGAAAACCTCTTGACGCTTCGCGGTCACTTGCGACCAATGTTGCCAGGTCATATCTGAAAAATCGGAAGATATTGCACCAAAAAACAGTAAATTGAGAAAAAACAGTAGGTGCTGAACTTACCTACACACTTTAAATTGATTTTCTTCAAACATTGATTAGTCAAAGGAGGAGGTTCTCAATTCGGCTGTATTTTTTTTATGTATCTTACGCGATAAATCCGGCTTGTGAACCGATATGAATGATTCTTTTTTATTGGAAAAAGGTTACCTCATTATTGGTCCCATTTCAATTTGAAGAAAATATTCCACCTCAGGGTGGCAAACTAGGGGATGAATCCGGTTTCGCATACTTTCCGGTAACCGATTTCAAAACCCCCGTTACTCTAGAAGTAGGCCGATATGTCAATGAAAGTTTATTGTCGCGAGAGCAGAGTCCTTTCCAATGGTGGGCAGAGCATAAAACAAAATATCCAAAACTGGCCAGTTAGCACGAGTGTTTTTATGTGCACCAGCAAGCACTGTGTATAGCGAGCGGTTATTTGCCGAAGCGGGTAATGTGTATGAAGAAAAAAGGAACAGACAATTACCTGAACGCGCAGAAAGCCTTGTAAATATTCCTACATCATATCTTGCCTTTGTTAAATTTTAAATATTAATAATGTAAACTTTATTTTTAAATTACTAAATTGCTAGAAATTGTTACAAATATCTACAATTTCTAGTAATAAATCTCTTTTGAATATTTTAAATATATTGTTGATTTTACTTTATTATGTCTATTAGCTGTGATGCTTTATTTTAACCGAGTACTCTTCTCATGACGGTTCATGCTTTACCTATTTATTTCTTCACACTGTTTTACAAAAATCTAATTATCTCGAAAGTGACATTTTGTGGGTTGGTTATAGTTTGCATAACTATGTCCAACTACATATCTCGGAAGTATCGTGCTTGACGGTAGACAGCCGATTAGAATACAATATAAATTAATTTGTCAAAACAGAGGTCTGGCAACGTATCCCACGAACGCAAGCTATGCAGCAGAAGTTTTCAACGTTGCAATTTTACTAAATAATCAAGGACGCAAGCAATAATTTCATTTTTGTTTTGAATACTTTCGTGTTTTAGGTTCTAATCCAGCCAAAAATATATTTTTTTGTTCTCTCCTAATGGCTAAATTTGACTTTTTTTAAATATTTTGTTTTGATTTCAACGAATTGGTGCATTATATTTACTTATTTTCGTATTTTTTTGTGTATGATAATTTTTCACACTGTTAAGTGCCTGTTCATAATTTGCAAGCAAATATTTAGGCGAAAGTTACTTATTACTCCTAAATTTGTAATTTGTCTTTTATTTAAAACAAATAAAGTGTCAGGATCAATGAGTACCATTTAAATAACCACACCAAATTTGGTAGTAAGCAAGTTCCGCCCGAGAAAAATATGGTAAAAAATAACCACCAGAGTCTCACTGTAGTCCAGTTTTTGTATTACCTATGACAATAACCAATATTCTAGGATTTTCAAGCTATACTTCAAGATACGTGTTACAGGATGTACTATTTTCAAAATTCCACGTGCTATGTTATCGCCTAAAAACTTACACAAAAACCCCATATTTAAGCGATTTTGGGCACCTCATCGCCTTAATAGTATATTGGTTCACATTGGATAAAAATTCGCCACAAATAACAGGAGTGTAGCTAAAAAAAAACACAAGTAAATAAAAAGAATTAAAACAAACATTCACTTAACATATTAATAATTACCTGCAAGCCATGTCTGGACTGCTTGTTTGACGTATTGATCGACTCTTGCATTTTCAACGTATTCCATCACAAACTTTTTTTCTATCTGACGTAACGTCATCACGTCAAGTTATGAAATTAAACGTCAATAATATTTTGACTGTTTAAAATTAATTGATCGCAAATGATTTGTAGATATCAATGATTGTATTAGTATGTTAATGTAGCAAATTATTTTTAGATTTTGTAAGACACTCCAATTTACGTCGTCCTTATTATATCAATATGTCATTTTAATGCAGCTACGTTTTACAGATTATAGCACTTGTGTATATAATAATACACAAGCACGCTTGTAGACGCTGTATTTCTCTCTCTATATATATACTAATTACTTTAACTAATACATACTACGTTGTCAATTTGTTATTTCCTTAACTACCTAGAATAACTGATTACTAAATATGTCCCTACTAAATGTATTTTACAAGGTTTTTTGCGATTTCTGACATTTCGAATACTCTTTGGTCCCATAGAGACTATTGATCCTTAACAAAGACTGGATCGAATGGCAAACAAAAGTTTTGTAAAAATTTTATCTTGCTGACTGTACCATTTTACCAAATCTATGTATGTATATATATATATTGTATACACATAGATTTTGGATATATATATACATATATATAAACTTACAGTTGGAAGACTTACAGTTGGAGAGTTAGTAGAGGATAAGCTATATATCCTCCGGTCCCTCCAGCCGCTTAGGTTATTGGGAATTGGAGAGACGTTGTTTTTCGGCGTCGGGAAGTGAGCGTGCCTTACAGCTCCGCCACCAATGACAAGATTTGGTAGTGGGCTCAGAGTCAACGGCTTAGCGGTGGCAACTGCTCGTTGTGCAATGCGCAACGGGAAGTGAGCGTGCCTACTGGTAACTGGCAAGGTACCTGCACGCACACAGGTTATAGTTTCCTACTCGTATGCCCTAAGGGTAAGTAGGGAGAGTCACTATAATCAAAACTAACGTAGAAAGATATGGTGCTTGTCCCGGTGTGAAGTAACGCCTCACCCAGGAAAGGATCCCAAGCTTCCTTGCTGCATTTTGGTCATGGATTCAACGTATCTGCCTGATAAGTACAAATTGGACGACAGGTCCATTCTAAGTAGCTGGAGACAGTCGGCTATCGGTATGGATATATCACGAAAAATCGGAGTCAGCTCAAAGGAAGTCCGTATTGTAGAGAATAGACACGCCTGCATTTGGTAGCATTAAATTTGACAAGATTGACATCGCCCCAATCGGGACTGCCTTGAGTGTCAAGTCCAAACGGCTAACCATAGACTCTCGACAAGACCGGATTTCCTCTCCACTGACCCTCCATTTGATTTTCCCTTCATTGGTCAAGTACCTATATACGACTGTGTTATGATCAGCATACGCAAAGGTACCTGGAATTAACATATCATTGATATACAGCAGAAAGAGAGTTGCAGACAGCACGGAACCCTTCTAAGACCTCTCGAATCGAACGTTCGCTCAAGAAATCCGAGATACAATTGCAAAGTGGGAAGCCCATAAAAGGGAAGCTTACTTAAAAGGTTTGCGTGCCAGACCCGTCAAAGTCTTTACAAATATCCAAGACACTGCAAGTGATTCACCTTGCTTTTCTATAGCCTCGCTCCATATGTGACAGGCATATACCAGAAGATCCCCAGTTGATCTGCTTCGGAATCCGTACTGGCGATCAATGAGGAGGTCTTCAAGGTACGACAAGAAACGGTTGTTGAGTACACGTTCCATGGTCTTGCAGAGTATGGAAGTGACTGAGATAGGTCTATACTTGACAGAGTCAGCTCTGCTTCCCTTTTTCGGCACAGGTTGCACGTGAGTCTCAAGTGAGAGGCGGTACAGGCGTAGGCTTGTGAAAACAGGAGACACCTCAGCACAGTTACGTAGGACTAGTGCTGGAATTCCATCTGGTCCGCTAGCTTTATTCACTTCTAGATTCCGCATAGTTCTAAGTATCTCTTTTTAGCGTATGCGAATTAGCACCATAGTGCAGCCAGCCTGAGGCAAGATTAGATCCAGACGCGAACTCTTTGCAAAGAGTAAGGCAATAAGATTTGCCTTGTCTTCTGCAGTGTAGGCCAGCGTGCCGTCCAGCCTTAGCAGAGGTGAAATAGATAGGCGACAAAAGTTAGTTAGTGAGTTTATATTTAAAAATGTTTTGTATCTGTTAATTTCTGGCGTCGCCATTTTCACTACGCATACACAATATGGTATTGCTCTTAGAGATGTTTTGAACCTTCTTTGTCTAATCACACAATTATATTCACTTTCATGTGCCTGTTTCTTAATATTCCTGTATCAAATCTTTTATGTATTTACCAAACTCATTCTCTGTATTTTAAGTTCTAAAGTAAGAATCCATTCGGAAATGTATAGGGTTTGATGTATGACTATTGAACTTCAGACTGGCTTTCAAGTTAGACACTTAAGGGACGGAACTTCAAAGTTTTAAATGCAGATATTGTTTCACAAATATATGAAAAAATGAAAATGAAATGATGGCCTATTAAATTGTTTCATCGCGTTACCCCAGTTATGTCATATTTATATTTTTTATGATAAAAAAGTGCGCATTCGATCACTACGCCAGCTTTCTATTTTGGTTATTTTCTGTTATTTTTGTAAACAGTCATATTTATTTACTAATATTATGCTCCCCGAATTTTGTGAAAAAAATAAAGAAATAAAAAACAATATGAAAATGGAGCATGCCCGCCTAAATGATGCCTGTTCACTCACGCCCCGCAAAGCCCAATTATAGCAATTATAGCGTTCAGGCAATAAGTCTGCAGGCAAAGAATTCCACTCCATAGCCGTTCGCCGTGTAAATGTAGAACCATAACTTTGTGCGAATCTTTGGAATACCTACAACATAGGGGTGGAGCCCCCAGCCTACCGACGATGATTTCATAAGTGGGAATTTCAAATTCATATTTTAAACAGCCTTACCGCTTACACAATTGACCCCTTGGCTTATGACCAGACAATAAATACCAAAAATGAAAATATATCTTTGAGAATTAGCAGCTGCTCTCTCAAAGATATATTAATATACAGTGGTGGACACATAATTAAAGACACTTAGAGAATATTATTTTTTCAAAGTTTACTTATCCTATATTTTTTTATTATAATGCAATAGGAGCTTGCAATATTATTTAAATTGTTATACAAAAATGTTTGAAATGAATACAAAAATGTTTGAAATGAAATAAAGAGAACGAAGATGTCGTATTTTAAATTATTATTAAGTTTCTTTAATTACACCGTTGTAAACTAATACAAAAGCTTGGCCAACTAATTAAAGACACACAAATCATGTAACTGCAAAAAAAATATTACAAATGTTAAAACGAATTTGAGTATAAAATTAGTTTCAGATGTATAATAAGAAAATAAAAGCACGTTGTTAATATTTTGTCGCATGTCCTTTAGCAGCAATGACGGCCCGACACCGCCTCGGCATAGAAGCAATCAAATTATTGCAAGTTTCAATCGAAATCTGTTCCCATGCCTCTTTAAATGCCGTGTATAGTTGATGCACGTTACTTGTACGTTTTTTTGCAACCATTTTCTTCACACGGGACCACAAGTTTTCGATCGGGTTAATGTCAGGACTATACGGTGGCCAATCCAAAACTGTTACTGATTGGCTTCTAAGAAATTCTTTGACCACTGCTGAAGTGTGTTTGGGATCATTATCATGTTGAAAAGTCCATATCACCGGCAAATGATCCTCGGCATAAGGTAACATGGTGTTTTCTAAAATATTTTTATATTGAAATTTATCCATGTTACCTTCTATTTTTTTAATAGGTCCCACACCGTGACCAGAAAAACATCCCCAAACTTTGATATTACCCCCTCCATGTTTAACAGTTTTTTTTGTGTATTTTGGATCCATTTCTTTTTTTGAACGTAAACTCACGTAAACTTTTCCATCAGAGTTAACCATATTTATTTTAGTTTCGTCAGAAAAAAGCACATTTTTCCACTGTCGCTCTGTCCAATATGCATATTTTTTGGCAAACAGCAATCTGGTTTTGATGTTTTCTTTCTTCAAAAGGGGTACCTTCCGAGAAATTCTTCCAAACAAGTTTGCCTCACATAATCGCCTTCTCACCGTTCTTCCAGACACTCCTCTAGATTCCTCTGCACCAAATACTTCCAAGCGAATGACTTCTGATCCTTTGAAAGGGTCTTTTTTAGCCAACAATTCTATTCTTGTGTCTTCTCTCTGGGTTGTTTTTCGCGGTCTAGGTTTCCTAGGCACATTTTCCGTAGTGTTAAATTTCTTAAAATGCCGGATAGCGTTCATTACCATATTCATTGTATTCATTGTTCATTGCGTATCACGAAAATTCGCTCAATATTAGAAAAAATCAGTGCTCTTTTTTTATTTTTTATTTCAAGTTTAGAACACGAAATACGCACTGTCTTTAATTAGATGGCCAGCAGCTAATGTATCGAAAAAGTTTGAATGATATTTGAAACAGGAACTATGTACACTCTTTTTAGTTCAACTTTGATACTGTTCTCATTTAAAAAAATATATGATGTCAGTGTATGTAAAATGACTATTAAAATGGAATTGATACCTATCTTGGGTCTCTAAATATCATTTAATTTGTTGTATGTGGTCATCATCAAGGGTGTCTTTAATTATGTAACCACCACTGTATATAGCAGGTCCCTGAGGTCCTCTTATGTAACGAACTAAATAGGTGATAGACGATCTCTGATGAGTAGATCGAGTACATGGGCGTATTATTATAGCAACAAACCGAACCCGGCGCTAATGACGAACGCGAGCGGCGGCAAGGGCAGCGCCGTGCTCAACGGTGGCACCAATGGCGCCGCGGTCGCCAGCGCGCAGCTCTGCGCCTCCTGTCAAGGTAATTCTCACTTTTTTAACCATAATACAAATGAAAATTACATGAATCTACTATGCTGTAAGTTATATATTATGTTAATCCGCCAAAACGCGTCAAAAATTTCAGTAATATAACGACCTACGGGCACTTGATGGGCGGTTAGGAAACGAATATTCAAAATTAGTGTTCTAGTCTATATGTTATAAGTTGTGCATTCAGTGTTAATTTCGTTACTTTAGTACTTATTGTGACATAGTTTGAAACTATAATCTTTTTTTTTTTGAAGATGAAGTAAAATGTTAGGGTTGCTAGTTTTCAAAAAATTTTATATAGTCATGCTTTCTTATTTTTTATCATTGCTTTAAACTCGTGTGATTGTCTGGTATTTATTGGTATGTTTTCAGTAATAAAACCATGTTTTGTGTTATAGCGACAAACTCAACCCAGTGGTACGCTTGGGGCCCCCAGCATTTACAATACAGATTGTGCGGCTCCTGTTGGACCTACTGGAAGAAATACGGCGGTCTCAAGGTTTGTTTTACATTGTTTTCCTTTTTTCGTACGTAAATGATTATATAAATAGATAGTACTAACCAGTATTGGGGGTCTACTTTCGATCTCCGTCCGACGTCCGTCCTAAACAATTACTGTCAAATAAGTAATATTCGACAAAATTAAAAGACAAGTATCCAGTATGAAGCTTCATTCGCATCACGCGTCTTTTCAATGGTCGTATTGCTTATTTGGCAGTAATTGTTTCGGACGAACGTCTGACGGAGATCGAGAGTAGACCCCCTAGTTATTTGTATGGCACTAATACATTGATAGTGCGATGTAGTCACGGTAGGTGTGATCGAAGATTGATAGATCAATTATCCACTGTGAACATAGTTTATGATCGAGTGTCGTGGTATTCGTTATTGACCCTTGAGAATGTTGTAACGAAGGACGTTGGTGCGCAGACGGCGGGTGTGTTCGGCGAGAGCGAGGCGGAGGCGGCGACGGGCAAAGCGCGCGAGGGCGACGACGCCGCGCTCTCCGTATCGCACCGCCCGCACCGCTGCACCGTGCTCAACTGCGCCAAGGTGCGTGCCTTCCTCCCGAAACAAAAGCACTCGATGACGTGACCACATGCGGAATGACTTATTTTCCATTAAGTGGCTGATCGCGGGTATTCATATAAGAGCACACACACCGCTACTTTCAGTAGCGATGCCAACGCGCGTTCGCGAAAGGCGAGATTGTTAAGCTACACTTGTGATTTATTAACGCGCGTTTGCATCGCTGCTAACGCTGTGTGTACCGACTCTAAGTCATATTACCATACCGATTGCCACGGCCGCGACGCGACTCTGCGCGATTCGAGTAGCCGAATCCCCACTGTCCGAGTAGCCGCGCAACCGAACGTGTTGTTGTGAACGTTTACCGACAATGTTCTATGTAGAATATCCTGAATAAATAAATAAACTATCGTGTGTAATTGAAAATTTTCATGTTTCTGTGGGTCATTATAGAACAAATAAAACACATCCTTTATAGTGCATTTTATTTATGCAAAGTTGTCATGTTTTAATTTTCTTTTTGATAATAATAGCACTAGGGAAATCCTGTGTCGCGGGTGCCATGGATACACGAAGAGACATGCCCAAATAACATCCAAACTTACGAGAGGAATAAACGGAGGCCATACAAATATTTCTCCCGGCCCGGGAATCGAACCTGGGACCTCTGCGTGGCAGTCTGACATGGAAACCGTTAGGCCAGAGAGGCAGTTTATAGTAACTAACACCTTGGGTCCATGTTACCCATCGAGTATATAACCAGAAATAGAGGCGAAATAGGGGCCATATATTCCTGGTAACATATTAGCGATACAGCTCTTATAAATATCAACTCTCGTTTACACTGAAATATAGACAGGCCAACTACTGACATGTGTACGTCTCCGTATATTCCAAAAAATATTCTGTATTTATTGTAATAAAGATAATATCTCTAACAATGCCGTGCTGTTCTATTCGGTGGTGTGGAAAAAACAGCAAACATCTAATTACAAAACAAACGGAATCACATTTCATCGGTAATTAAATATTAAATATGTAATAATTATTAGTACAAAGATAGAACACTCAGAAAAAATTCCTTCGATCCGGTCGGATTCGAACCGACGTCTTCTTGCATACCGTGTCAGATGCTATACCAACTAAGCCACGGAACGAACCAACGGACCTCACGAATTTTTCTATGTACTTGCGTCGTGTCTTTGTATTTGGTTTTTCAACGACTTTTTAGTCGTAGCGCCATCTATGAGAAATCTATGAAAGATTTATCATAATTATAACAAACTAGTGGAGTCATTTCACAAAAAAAATTTAATATCAATTCAATAAAAATTTAATTATTAAATATGTAATTTTGCAATTTTCGTCCATTATAGCAAAGCTCAAGTTACTGGTCGATTTGAAGTGAAACAGTTGACGACACCCACTGACGATACCCGTCAATTGTTTCGAACTCGGGCTAGCCAATCGGAGCGCAGTTGTCACAGTCATGATATGGCAGAATAGTTTTCAAACAAATTAAATGACTTTCGTCTCTATTTCTGGTATATACTCGATGATGTTACCTAAATAAATTAATTTTATTATAGCGATAAGAAGTATATACATATGTGTTAGTCCGACGTCCGTTTTGAAACTGAGCCGTCAGTCGCTCAGTGGAAAACAGGTGTAATAGTATCGGGACCCCGCGGGTGCGTTGCAGGAGTTCAAGCTGCGCGCGCACCTGGCGCGGCACGTGGCGACGGCGCACGGCAGCGGCGAGGGCGCGCGGCCCGTGATGAAGACGCGCGCCGCCTTCTTCCTGCGCGCGTCGCCCTTCACGCGGCTGGCGCGCCGCCTCGCCAAGGCGCTGCGCCGTCCCAAGCACTACGCGCGCTCGCCCTTCTCGCCCATCAACCTGCAGCAGGTCAAGCACGAGTGTGAGTACGCGCCTCGCTCCCGCGCTCGGGCGGTTCAGAACTCTTCGGTATTTTCACCCAATCGTTCGATTCGGATACGATATTGTTATCCAACGGCGTGTACGGAGTTCCGGCCGCTTTCTATATTCAATCTCAATCCATCATTTGCTATCTAAGCTTGAATAATCAATCCAAATCCTATTTTTACTATTTCAATAACCGATCGATGGATCGTTATTCCGATCTTTTGTTTCAATCCATCTGTGGGATTGCGTCTGTGGCTTTTTAGATTGACATTTGTATGGTAGTGACACTTGTGCGCTTTCAATATACAATCCATAGTTTTGACAAATCGGATTTTGCACGTGTTCGATCTATAGTAGCGATCCTCCAATTTTGACCGATTGTACTGTGTAATCGTGTAAAAATGGAAGTTACTTTTAAGTGATAGCGACTGTGAACTTGAACATTTGCTCAGTTATCGGACTGGGATAATAGCGACAGCGACCAAGAGCAGCTTGTGTCCTCAAGAACGTTTAGGCGTATAAACTTCATTAACTGACGCTGAATTTACATCCAAATTTAGGCTGAACAAAACATCAGATGAATTTGTTTTAACTGAAATAATGCCGTTTATCAAAGTCAAATAATATAATAAATTGACACTAACATTTCGCCGCT